CTCTGTGGTCAACATCTGCCAGACATTGACCATAGAATCATACTGGAGGACCTACAAATGCCTAGAGAAGCATTTTCTCTAGTAATCTCCAACTCCTCCAGAGTAATTCTATGGTCAGTGTCCAGCAGAGTTGTGCTGGAGGACCAAGAAAGTCCTAAAAAGAACATATTAATCAAATCCGCAAATAATCAAGTCTGCAAAAGTCAAAGTCACAAATGTGGAGGGCCGACCGAAACAGTTTGCATTCAATTAACTCAGCAAAGGAGGAGAAGAGGGAGCAGCGTCTTCTCCTTCCCAGTCTGATCAGGCAAAAGTAAACTGCTGCAAACTATCCTTGCTTGTGTAGTCTTCCTCATTAATAACTTTTGCCATCCTGACTACACAGTGTTTTCATGTGTGAAATGTTGGTGTGAGCGTTTGTGTGCACCTCCTTTAGCCTGGAATCAGATGAAGTTTTGAGACGACATCCTCCCCGATATTCCCCACTTTTCATTCCATAACTTTCCATGGCACTCCAAGTTTTCTGGGACACCCTGCTTTTCCCCCGCGCCTCCCCGATCCCCCCCGTCATCAGCCCCTTCCTTACCCGAAAAAGCCCCGATCAAGAACCGGCCGAGGATCATCATCTCATAGGATTTACCAAGTTGCGCCATTCCCATCAAGCCACCGCCAAGAAAGGCCAACCCGTTGTTCACAATCATGGCCCTCTTCCTGAAACCCCCAGGGGAAAAATTAAATTTAATTAAATTTAAATAATCTATGACCATTCACTCTGTTTCAGAACTAACCAACCAAGTTTGCAAGTTTGCATGGAGCACAGAGCATGTTCCCCTCTCCTATGACTAACCACTGGACAGGTTGGACTACAACTCCCATCTCCCCCCCTCCTGCGCTCTCTGATAGAGAAAGCTAAATGTCTCACAAAACCACAGTCCCCAGAATTCCATACCATTGAGCCATGTGTCAAACTGGATTATTTCTGCAGTGCAGATACAACCACAGTTATTAGAAAAGCAGAGGCGCTTTGTAGGGGGAAAATGTTGGCATCCCAGGGTTCTTTCCACAAAATGGCACAGCTTAAGAATAGGACGGAATGCTCCGAGACACTCTGTACATGCTCAGAGTCACCCTTGGCCATATCAGAGCTTCCCAGCCAGGGGAGGGAACTCACCGGCCAAGCCATTCTGAGACGATGCCCACCATGAAGGAGGAGACCATGCCCCCGATGGAGAAGATGGCCACCGACAGGGACCACAGCGTTTTGAGGGTGCCTGGGTCGATGGGCGTTGGGTGTGCCACCCCTTGGCGCTCCATCCAGGTGGCATTGTAATTCTGTTCAATGATCTGAATAAAATATAGAGGGAGGGGTGGTTAGAAGCATCCTCCTTTCCCAGGATCTGTCCTACATTTTAACCTTCTGTCCAGGAGGATTTCCAAAATGTCCTCCATTGAGTGGTTCCCAAACTTCGGTCCTCCAAGTGTTTTGGAATTCAACTGCTGGAAGCCCCAGCCAACTTGGCCAACAGTCAGGAATTCTGGGAGCTGAAGTCCAAAATATCTGGAGGACAAAAGTTTATTATTATTATTATTATTATTATTATTATTATTATTATGCTTTATTTGTATAGCGCTGTAGATTTACACAGTGCAGTACATACAATCAATAAAATAGATAAAATAGACAAAGATAAGCCTGCCAATGGCGTACATTCTACAAAATAATAAAATAATACATATTAATACAAATTAAAAACATCAAATAATAATCATGCAATGCCTGGGAATGCTTCCCTGAACAGTATAGTCTTTAACTCAGCTTTGAGGCTAGTTAAAGAAATGATGCCCCTTTACATATATATGAGTGTTTTTAGCTTTCATTTTTGATGGGGGGAGTTGTAGTTCCCCCACATTCTTTGCAAAGGGGCCATGCTGGGAGTTGTAGTCCCCAAAAGTTGCTTTTCTAAGTTGCTATGCTGGTTAGGGGGATTCTGGGAGCCGTAATCCTCAAAAGGTCATTCTCTCCCCCTTGGCCACAGAATGCTGGGAGTTGTAGTCCCAGGTTCCTTGGTCCGGTCACTGCCTCCCTCAACTTCTGCTGCAAACGTCCCACGTTTTTCTTGAATGTCCTACATTTTTGCAATGCCTTTTCCTCCTTTATATCATCTGATCACTTTGGTTAGAAAACATGAAATTGCTTCTTTCAATCTTTCTAAAACTTGGGGAAATTACTTTTTCTGCCCCCTAGTGGCCTTCTGGGGTTGGCTAATCTGAAAAAAGTAACTTTCCAAGGCTCTCGATCTTTCACCTCGATCTTTGAATGAACTGGTGAGAGATGAGATATCCGTTCCCTGCCCAGTAAACCAACCTCTAAGGGCAAACCTTGCATGAGTTGGCATTTTTGGGGAGTATTGAATTTCATGGCTTTTGAGGCCATGCTGGCTGGAGATTATGAGAGCTATAGTCCTACCAAGTGCGAGTATTTGAACCAAGGAAAGTGGGAAACCCTGCCTTCCCACACCAACAACATTTTAACCCAAAACTGCGCCCTCTGTAATGATGCCGTTTTGCAATTCCTTGTGGAATGTAAAGTGGCAGGGCTTTCCAAACTGACATCCACACATGCTCAGAGGCACAGTTGCCCACTGTGGTTTCATCTACTTCTATCCTGCCTTTGTCCAAACCAACCAACCTCTTAGCTTTAGGGAATGTGCTTTCAGGTAATTTGCTTTACCTTTTGTGGTGCATTGATGACTCCGATGTTGTATCCGAACTGCAGGGACCCCAAAACGGCCGTGAAGACGGACAAGATTAAGGTGGTGGTGATCCCACTCCCAGCATCCTCGTCTCCTTCCTGTAGAAAAATACACACACATGAAAAAGAAGACAAGATCTCTCTCTTAAACCTCGACAACACACAACAGAATTACACTTGCCAAGAAAGTGGTTTTGCACCAGGGTAGGAAGCAAGAGCCAGCATGGTGTAGTGGTTGGATTATGACTGTGGAGACCAGGGTTCGAATCCCGGCTCAGCTATGTAAAACCCCAGGGTGACCTTGGACAAGTCACACTCTCTCAGCCTCAGAGGATGGCAATGGTAAACTCCCTCTGAAGAAACCTGGCAAGAAAACCCCGTAATAGGTTTGCCTTAGGGGCTCCATAAGTCAGAAACGACTTGAAACCACAGAACAACAGCATAAAGGAATATCATGTGCCCCTTCCAATGTTGTTGGACTACAATTCCCATCAGACCCTGAGACAAGACATGCAGTGAGGAGGCATGCTATCTGTTTATTGTTCTCTGCCTTGATCCCTGGGGAGAGGCAGTTAAGATATTATTATTATTATTATTATTATTATTATTATTATTATTCCCTTCAACTGCCCCAGTTTGGAAGGGACAATCCCAATTAATCCTCGGTCATCCAGCCCCAAATGAAGTAATGCCCCCAAATGTCTCCCGGGGCGTAATTTCTGGTACTTGGGCAGGGAGGGGGAACTGGGGCTGCATCCACACTGCAAAAATAATCCGGTTTGACACCACTTTAATTGCCATGGTTCTGTGCTATGGAATTCTACGAATTCTACAGTGGTCCAAGTCCTCCAGTGCAACTCTGTGGTCAATATCTTCCAGAAGTTGACCATAGAATCATGCTGGAGGACCTACAAATGCCTAGAGAAGTGTTTTCTTTAGGAAATTCTAGGTTTTTCAGCACAACTCTATGGTCAGTTTCCAGAAGAGTTGCGCTGGAGGACTTATTAGAGATTCCTAAAAAAAAATATTGATCAAAACCGCAAATAATCGAATCTGCAAAAGTCAAAGCCGCAAATGTGGAAGGCCAATTGTAGTTTGTTGTGGCACCAGAGCCTTGGACCTATGGTGACCCTAAGGCTCATGGGGTTTTCTTGCCAAGTTTCTTCAGAGTGGGGTTGGCATTGCCATCCTTTTAGGGTGAGAGAGTGTGACTTGCCCAAGGTCACCCATTAGATTTCCATGACTGAGCCAGGATTCGAACCCTGGTCTTCAGGGTCATAGTCCAACGCTCAATACACTATTCCACATTGGTTCACATTCCTTTGCACACCCCAAAATAGCATAGAGACTATTCTGGAGGGCCAGGGGTGGCGAAGAGAAAGGAATGATTGCACCAAGTTTCAAAGCTAAGTAACTAAACAGTAACTTTGTGTTCAAAGCTAAGTAACTTTGTGTTACTTAGGGGTTGTGTCCCATTCCTGAGCCTGTCCCTTAGGTATTTCCCAGGCTTTGGACAAATTACCTTTTTGTGTTACAACTCCCAGAATCCTCCACTGGCCATACTTGTTTTAAGGGGGCAGAATCTAGGAGTCAACAGCTCTTGCAAAGTTACTTTCCCAAGATCTGGCATCCTCTGGGGTGGGCAAGATCAGCCTGAGGTTCTGTTCAACTTAGCAAGGGCTGGATCTACACTGCAGAATTAATGCAGTTTGACCCCGCTTTAATTGCCATGGCTCAGTGCTATGGAGTTCAGGGGTTTGTAGTTTGGTGAGATGTTTAGTCTTCTCTACCTGAGAGCTCTGGGGCCACAACAAACTACAAACCCCAGGATAACCCACAGCCATGGCAGCTAAAGTGGTGTCAAACTGCATTAATTCTGCAATGGGGCAGCAATCAAGGAATAGATGTAATATTTAATAATAATAATAATAATAATAATAATAATAATAATAATAATAATAATTTGACCCCTGTGCGATATAATTCAGTCTCCATAACTTCACCTAAGTCCAGAAGGGCAGATGGGGAAAGGAAGGGACTGACCCATCACTACAAAGAAGGAAGGAAAGGGAAGCACTTTTCCTCCTTGTTGTTGCCGTGTGCCTTCGAGTCATTCTTGACTTATGGCAACCCTAAGGCACATCTATCGCAGGGTTTTCTTGGCAAGATTTGTTCAGAGGAGGCTTGCCATTGCCTTCCTCTGAGGCTGAGAGAGTGTGACTTGCCCAAAGTCACCCAGTGGGTTTCATGGCCGAGCGGGGAATCGAACCCTGGTCTCCAGAGTCATAGTTCAATGCTCAAACCATTATGCCACCCCAAGCAATAGCTTCCACCAAAGATGCAAAGGAGCCCTTCGACACACGACGACATCAAAGTTTCATTTCAGGAATAAGGGTGATACACTTTCACCAAGCGTGCAAAGCCTTTCACCAAGTGTGCAAAGGAGCCCTTGTGCTACAAGCTGGACTGGTCCATCAGCAAAGTGATTTCACACTTCTCGTACATGGCCAACAAATCCGAAGCGATATTTCAGAGGAAAGAACTGACAAAACCACCTCTGAGTCTTCCTTGCCTAAGGAAAACCCGGTGAAATTCGTGGAGTCACCAGAAGTCCACAGGCAACAAGAAGGCACAGACACACAAACACAAACACAAACACATCCTCGATTTTGAAATCCTCAGTGGTGCGCTGATGCTCACGGTTCTTATGCAAGCCTTGTGTGAAAGCGACGTTCGACTTGGGATCACAAGGAAGTAGGGCTTCAAGGTCAGACAGTGCCTTAGAGCCTAGTGAAAAACAGACTGGGTGCTGCTTCTGTCTTTCTCCCCTCGCACGACTCTCGTGCAAAGGATAGGTGAAGGCGGAAGGCTACATTCAGGCGTGCAAAATGTGACCAAGGTCTTGCCCGCATTTGGGTTGGTTGCCTTCCTTCCTTCTTCCTCTCTCTTTCTGGCATCATCACAACTCTTGTAAAGAAGTTTTCTTCCAAGTTTGTCTAGGCTGGTTTTGACCTGAGTTGCCCAGATATAATTCGGCAAAACCTCAGACCCCTTTTTGTCCTTCGGTGTCTTGCAAAGGCCATGGCCAGATCTGCTTTCTTATCCGCAGGGTGCTTTGGTTTTTCTTTCGTTCATCCTGGTTCTTTTTTTGACTTAAAACAACCCGGCTTCCGGCAGTGGCATGCCCTGGCCGGCTGGCAGGCTGGCACTCTCTTGGCGCATGCTCTGGCAAAGCAAGCAGCCCGAATCTCTCTTTTCCTCCTCCTAAAATAAGCAAGAACCCCCTAAAAGGTCCATTTGCCCCCCCTCCATCTCCCAAGCCCAGCTGCATCTCACCAAAGCAGCACTTGGCATATTTGCCACCCAGAGTTAGATGCATCTTTGAAGCCTGAAAGATCCCATCCTTGCACAAAGTGCTCGCATGGGTCAACTGGCAGCCCTGAGTTCGAGAGATGACCTGGAGGAGCTACTGAAAGGGGGAAAGGGGAGTTGAACAAGCAAAGGGGGGGGGAAATTGTAGGGCAGCAGAGGGTGACATGCCACCTACCCGTCTCCGCCAAGGTACCACCATCCTGGGCTGGTGTGCAATGGGTGCTGCTGTCCTCCGAATGACGCATGAGCCGCTGCCGGAGGGTTGCGCCCGTCCCTCCCTCTCTTCCTCTGGGTCTGGTATGTGGGGTGAGGCCCTGTTGCCATGGCACTGGGTGACAGGGAGGGGCAGGCAGAAGGGCAGGCCAGAAAGGGCCGCACAGAGAGAGGGCTGGCCCACAAGGCAGTGGGCTCCAGTGGTTAGCCACAGGATGGCCACCGGGGCTTATAGGGTTTTCCATTCCCCTGTCAATGCATCATTTCAATTACCGGTAAAACTAGTGCCATGAAAGCAGGCGTTTGACAAATGGGCATTTTTGCCTGGCACACAGAAGGAGGAAGGCTTCGCCAGTTGGATGGCGGCCAGCTGCACCAAATATCTTAAAGGCACCAGGTTATGTCTGGTTGCCATACGTTGGGGAGCCAGTGTGGCGTTGGACTAGGACTCTGGAGAGCAGGATTCGATTCCCAGCTCAGCCGTGAAAACCCACTGGGTGACCTTTGCTGAGTCACACCCTCTCAGCTTCAAAGAAAGGCAATGGCGAGGCTCCTTTGAACAAATCTTGCCAAGACAGCCAGCGTGGCATTGTGGTTTCTGTGTTGGACTATGACCCAGGAGACCAGGGTTTGATCCTCCGCTCAGCCATGAAACCCACTATGTGACCTTTGCCATGTCACACCCTCTCAGCCTCAGGAGAGGACATGGCAAACCTCCTCTGAAGAAATCTTGCCAAGAAAAGTCCATGATAGGGTTGCCTTAGGGTCACCCTAAGTCCAAAAGGACCTGAAGGCACACAACAACTACAACAATGTAAGTTGGCAGGTGACCTGAAGGTAGATACACACACACAATATATATATAGGACAGGGCCTATATACTCCAAATGTACCAGATCCCATCTGATCTTGGAAGCTAAGCAGGATCAACCCTGGTTAGTCCTTGGATGAGAGACTGCCAGGGAACACAAGGCTTTATTTATGAGGAACTGGCAAAACCATCTCTGGAGATTCCTTGCCCAAGAAAACCCTAAGAAATCCATAGAGTTGCTATAAGTGGACAGGTGTCTTGAAGGCACATACACACACTAAAGCAGGGGTAGGCAACCTTTTTGAGTCGGGGGCCGGGTTGCTATCTCTCAGACAATTGGGGGGCTGAAGCACCAAAAATAAATAAATAAATAAATATAATAATAATAATAATAATAATAATAATAATAAAATAAAATAAAATATGCATGCACACTCTCTCAGCCCCAGAAAAGCCATGGCAAAACCCCTGTGGAGATTTTGCCAAGAAAACCTCAAGAACAAGTAATAACAACAATAATCAATATCATCATGGCGGGGGGCGGCGGCAGCGGCAGGGCCAGCCTGGGGCTGGTCCAAAGACCTCGGGGGCCGCATCTGGCCCCTGGGCCTTAGGTTGCCTATCCCTGCACTAAAGTGACTAAATACCCTAAAGGCACCAGATCCCATCTAAACTTGGAAGCTAAGTAGGGTCAGGCCTGGTTGGGACTTGGATGGGAGATCGCCAAGGAATCCCAGGGGCTGGAGGTGATATTTCAGAGGAAGGAACTGGCAAAACTACCCCTGAAGATTCCTTGCCGAAAAAAACCCTCTGAAATTCAAAGAGTCGCCATACGTTGATAGGTGACTTGGAAGGTGACACAAGAGCTGACCTTGGTTCTTTTCCTCCAAATGTTGCAGGCTGAGAAAAAGTGTCTTTTTGTACTGTCACTCCTAGGTAACTGGCTGGGGGATTCTGGTATTGGCAGTCCAAAAAAAGAACCTTTCCCAAGCCCCAAAAGACTGCCAAAGAATCCTAGGTGTCCAAGGAAGGAAATGGCAAAAGCGCCTCTGAGGACAGGTTGACCAGACGTCCTCCTTTTCCAGGGCATGTCCTACATTTCAACCTTCCAGGAGGAATTTCAAAAGGTCCTCCTTTTGGAGCATGACCAAGAAGCATGAATTTACATTTCTAGGAGTGTTTTTTACCTTTTATTTGAGCCACTGTGGTGTAGTGCTTTGAGTGTTGGACTATGAGTCTGATGATCAAAATTCGATTCCCCGCTTGGCCATGAAACCCACTGGGTGACCTTGGCCAAGTCACACTCTCTCAACCTCAGGCAATGGCAAACCTCCTTTGAAAAAATCTTGCCAAGAAAAACCCATGATAGCTTCGCCTTATCGTTGCCATAAATCGGAAACGACTCGAAGGCACACAACAACAACAACAACAACAACAACAACAACAACAAGAAGTGGATTTGACTTGCTCATGTCCTACATTTTTCTCAAAGGCCCGATATTTTGCGGTGCCGTGTCCTCCTTTGCGGTGAAGACATCTAGCTACCTTTTTTGAAGATTCCTTACTAATAAAACCCTATAAAATTCTTGGGGGCCCCATAAGTTAGCAAGCAACTTAATAAGAATAATAACATTTATTTATAATGCCTTTCCCACCAAAGGATGCAACATCAAACATAAAACACAGACAATAAAAATGCTCAAATGCTCAAATAATATGCTAATATGCTAAAGCACCTCCTTATCATTCACTGCCCATCTCACATACACACACTCACACACATTAAATGCACTAAAGATTTGTTTGTGTGATGATGGACGGGGCCAATGTATGCCTCTATGTGTGTGCAAGAGAGAGCAAGAATGCGTGTAAAAACTCTGCATCTCTTTTCCCAGCATTTTCGGAGAGACCCCCCCCTCCACATCCCCCGGGAGGGCAGGCCTGACAGGCAGCAGGCGCAAAAAGGACCATATTAGGGGATGCGGCCGAGACAGAGACGCTCCAGAAATGTAAACAGGGAAAAACCACTTGACTCTGGGTCACCGTTTCCTCCGCTTTCCCCCATCGCAACAACTATGGGACAGGAAGGCCAGTTCAGAGGCCTTTTGCCACTTTAAGACAACAAAAAAGGACAGCCAGGGTTAATTTGATAGACTCCTATACAGTTGGAAGGGATCCCCAAGGGTCATCCAGTCCAACCCGTTCCCAGTTGGCAACACAGCTAGGGCTGCATCTGCACTGCCAAAATTGAGTCCCAAACCAGCAGGGCCTGAAGGGTGGATTAGGACTTTGGGAGAGCAGAGTTCGAATCCCCCACTCAGCCATAGACATCCACAGCATGGCCTTTGGCAAGTCTCACTCTCAACCTCAGGGAAAGGCAATGGAAAAATAAATCTGGTCAAGAAATCCCTCAGGGAGGCAGCATGGTATATAGTGGTTTGCATGCTGGACTCGAGTTTTAATCACTGGTCAGGTCTGGAAACCCAATGGGGCAACCTGGTGAAGTGACTCTCTCTCAGCCTTACAGGAAGGCAGGGACAAAAGCCCTCTGAATACAGCTGCTGCCACACTGCAGAAATAATGCAGTTTGACACCACTTTAACTGCCAGGGCTCAATGCTAGGGGACCCTAGGATGTGTCATTTTGTGTGCTATTTTCCCTTCTCGGTTAGGGAGTTCTGGTGCCAGAACAAACTACAGATCCCAGAATTCCACAGAATGGAGCCCTGCCAGTTCAAGCAGTGTCAAACTGTTTTAATTCTGCAGTGCAGATGCAGCCCATGTTACCTCCGCTCTGAACTCACACTGAAGATTCATTGTCAGGGAGTGTCTCTGTGTGTGTGAGCAGAGTGCCTCTGTGCGCATGCAAAGTGCCTTTGCTCTATGATAAGAATGACCAAGCACCAGAGTATCAGGGATGCAGAAAATGAGATGAGGGAATTAGAGCCTGTGGCTCTTACAAAATCTTAAGTCCCTCTGTTTGAGAAATTCACCAGAAGGGGACAATGGGGGGGAAAAATCCTTTTTTTTTTTTTGGATTACAACTCCCAGAATTCACAAACCACCAGACACATGACCAATGGTGCTTCAAACAAGGGTTCCCAATCTGGCTCCCTCCAATGGCATATTTTTGGGGCATCCCAAGAAGGCAGCAAATGGTCTACATTTCTCAGAGCCTGGCAAAGGGACTTTTTGTCGACTATGACTCCCAGAATGCTGGCTGGAGAATCCTAGGAATCATTGTCCACAAATTTGGAGATTTGTAATCCAAAAATAGAGGGACAGCATGGTGTACTGGTTTGAGTGTTAGAATATGGCACTGGTGACAACAGTTTGTATCCCTGCTAGGCTATGGCAACCCACTGGGTGACCTTGGGCAAGTCACACTCTCTCAACCTGAGAGGAAACCTCAGCCCTTAGTTTACCAACAGTTCTCTGATCCTCTTTCATCTGAGGGTTTAACTCTTATTTTTCTCTATCATTTTTGCCCTTCATTCCTTTTTACTTCTTCAAATATTAGATCATTTGAGGCATGCATTTTAAACAAAAAACAGTGGATAAATGTGTGTGTGTGTGTTCCTGTATTAAAGAAACAAAACCAATTTTTTTCCTGGTGTCTTCCTCCATAACAAATGCCTGGTTCAGTGCGGCCTAGTGGTTTGAGCATTGGACTACAACTCTGGAAACCAGGGTTCGATTCCCAACTCGACCATGAAACCCATTGGGTGACCTTGGGCAAGTCACACTCTCTCAGCCTCAGGGGAAGGCCATGGCAAACCTCCTCTGAACAAATCTTCCCAAGAAAACCCCATGATAAGGTCTCCATGAGTCAGAAATGACTTGAAGGCACACAACAACAGTAAAGAAAGCCAGTGAGGCACAGTGGTTCAAGTGTTGGACCACGACTCTGGAGACCAGGGTTCGAATCCCACCTCATCCATGAAACCCACTGAAATGACTCGAAGGCACACAACGACAAGAAAGAAAGCCAGTGCGGCACAGTGGTTCAAGCGTTGGACCACGACTCTGCAGACCAGGGTTCGAATCCCACCTCAGCCATGAAACCCACTGGGTGACCTTGGGCAAGTCACTCTCTCTCAGCCTCAGAGGAAGGCCATGGCAAACCTCCTCTGAACAAATCTTGCCAAGAAGATTGCCCATGATAGTTTCGCCTTAGGCTCGTCATAAGTCGGAAACGACTAGAAGGCACACGACAGCCACAACAAAACCAACTTTTGGAGAGTTCCTGGGAAAGGTGCCTGTTTAAAAATAAAACTCGAGGGGCCTGCAGATGAAGAACAGTCCTCTCCATTGCCTCCTGGCTTTTCTCCAAAGCCAGGTTCTGTGGAAGAGAGGTGGAAGATCCAGCATCGTGACTCTCTTGTGTACGTGCGCACACGCACAGAGGAGGCACGGCTGCCTCACTTCCTTTTCCCACCTCTCCCTCCCGGCTGACGGAAGATGAAAGAGGGCTGCACTGTAAGAGTTTCCTAAGAATAATAATAATAGCAATAATAATAAGAATAATAAAAATAAAAAAACCCTAAGGCAAAACTAATAAGATAATATCAGGATGCACAAAGTTGAAAAGAAAAGGAACCGTGTTGCACAGTATCTCTGATGGCATGCCCTTGTTTCAGAACAAATTGGTACAAGACAAACTGTTTGGCGGAGACCTCAGAAGATGAAAAGGCCCCTGATGGTTCAAAAGAAGAGCCCACCTGGCTGACCATCCGGCCTCCCATCCATCATGGGACCACAGATGCCCCCCCCCAAAAAAAAGTGTGTTTCCGCCCCAGAGTTACAGCCGTCTGATACCACTTTCAGGGTTGCCATTCCAGTCTGCACAATCCTGGGAGGTGTAGTTTGGCCAAGGGTTCCCAGTTTTCTAGTCTAGTGCTGCAGCTGCTGAGTTGTTCTTGCATCGCCGCTCTCTGGAAACCGGTTCCGAGTCTCTTGCCAAACTACGAATCCCAGGATTCTGCAGAATGGAAATTTAGCAGTTTAAGGGAAAGTTGGAAAGTTCAGGTTGTGTGTGTGTTTGTGAATATACATCTCTGTGTTGAATCATAGAATCATAGAATCGTAGAGTTGGAAGAGATCAGTCCAACCCCTTGCCATGCAGGAACTCCCAATCAAAGCATCCCCGACAGATGGCCATCCAGCCTCTGCTTAAAGACCTCCAAGGAAGGAGACTCCACCACACTCCAAGGGAGTGTGTTGTTTGCCTTCAAGTCATTTCTGACTTACAGCGACTCTAAGGCAACCCTATCATGGGTTTTCATGGCAAAAATTGTTCAGAGGGGGGTTGCCTTTCCTTCCTCTGAGGCTGAGAGCATGTGACTTGCCCAGGGTCACCCAGTGGGTTTTCATGGCCCAGCAGGGATTCAAACCCTGCTCCCCCAGTGTCCTATCTAATGCTCAAACCACTACACACAAACACACACGGTGTTGTGTGACTTCAAGTTGTTTCCAGCTTATGGCGATCCTAAGGCAGTGAACTTATCATGGGGTTTCCTTGGCAAGATTTGTTCAGAGGAGGTTTGCCCTTGCCTTCCCCTCAGGCTGAGAGAGTGTGACTCACCCAAGGTCACCTAGTGAGTTTCATGGCCAAGCCGGGAATCGAACCCAGGTCTCCAGTGCCGTAGTCCAACACTCAAGCCACTGCACCATCTTGGGGGTTTCTTGGCAAGATTTGTTCAGAGGAGGTTTGCCGTGGCCTTTCCCTGAGGATGAGAGTGTGTGACTTGCCAAGGTCACCCAATGGATTTCATGGCCAAGACGGGAACTGAACCCTGGTCTCCAGAGTCTTAATCCAAGACTTAAAGCGCTACGCCATGCTGAGTCTCTACAAGGGCTATCACTTTGCAGTGTGGATATATACCCAAGGAAAACACCTTTGCATTGTAGTTTATCCTATTCCCTGTACTTCTGATCCAGAAACTGGTATTCAGCACGCAACTCCCTTTATATGGAGTGCGTACTAGATGGGACTTGTAGTCACGCCAAGGAATTTTCCCAAGCTCTCTCTCATACAGCTGCCTCAAAACTTCTCAAAACAGGGGTCGATGCACCCTCTTTCCACCAATCCTTCTAGTCTATTTATAAAATCGCCAGAAATCGGCAAGCATTGCACTTCAACATCTACTGGCAGTGAGTTCCACAGGCTAAGAAAAGAAAAGGGTGCCTCAAGCACACAAGAGCAGCTCTGTGTTTCATTGGTTTTGTGGGTCGGCTGACCATATCTCCTTGAGACAAAAATGGGATGAAGGGATGGCAAAAACGGGACGGGGTTCTGTAATATTCCGTATTCGTGAAAAAGTAAGACGATAAGAACAAGTTTTATTACATGACCATATTGAGCTAATATGTCATACAAAAAGTCATACAAAATGTAGGTAAATGTACAGGAGGACTGGATTTCACTACGATTGTACCATGAATATTTCTCAGGTGAGGTAATTGTACGCAGCAAAATTCAGTCTTTCAAAATCTTATCGTACAACTTCTGACACTCCATGACACAATTTTGTTTGTGACAACCATCATTTCAAATGGGGATCTTCAAACCATTTTCGCAACGTAACAGTGCACTTTTTCACCTTGAAAACGGTGCAAAATTGACATTTATATTAAAATGACAGGAGGGTCTGGAAATATGAAAGAAAGATGGTACTGTCCTATTTAAAATGGTACATACGGTCAGCCTAATTGTTTCATTTGCTGCTTCCAAGTGAAGCAGGGATTAACGATGGAAAGTCTTTTTCCTTCTATACTGAAATGTGAAAGCTCTTGTACCCATTTTAGAGACTAGACTACTGAGGCTATGGAAAAACAACCACAATAAGTTCAGCTTATTTCTAAAAAAGGGCTAATTTCTAAATAAAAGGCATCCAGATTTGGACACTTCTATAGAAGCCTCTTTGGCTAGACGAACCATTGCCTCTTAAATCCAGATGCTACTTTGTTATTGCTGTTTGCCTTTAAGTCCTTTCCAATTTATGACAATCCTAAAGTCTCACAGTTTTTTCTTAGTAAATTTCTTTGGGGGGGGGGTTGGGTTGCCATTGCCATATTCTGGGGAAAAGAAAGTGTGACTTGCCTAAGGATTATCTAATGGGTTTCCATGGTCAAGCAGGGACTCGAACCCTGGTCTCCAGAGTCCAATGCTCAATGCCATGCATGGTACATATTCACTGGTTACCTCTTTAAAATATGAATATGCTGCCCACCAGTTTATCAGGATTTCTGAACAGTATGCCATCAAACTTTAAGAATTCAAATGTTTACAACAACTTAAAATCCCCAGCTGGAAAAAAATATTATGTCAAATATTTATTTCTTTATGTGTTATTTTTACACATAAAAAAGGACCTAAAATATTTATTGCTCCTCTCTGTAGGCCACTGAAAACAAAAAAAATACAATACAATACAAGGAAGTGTCCATTGACAGAGGCACAGACATAAAAAGAAGATAAATTATACACCACTTGGATACCATTTCAAAACATACCGTTTCAAAATGCATCTCAGGAAGTTCATAGAGCTTCCCAGCTTGGGTCTTTTCAAGCCTTTCTTACAATCACAAGCCAGCTTTCAATCTAATCTTCTCGGCCGCTATCGCAAACAAGGCAGCAGCAGCAGAAGAGATATACTTCTGATCAGAGATAATTTTTAATTAGTTATTTTATTTACTTACATATCCTGCCTTTGTGACAACATGAAACCCTAAGCGGCTTGCAGCATAAGATTAAAACAAAATATAGTTAAAACAATATATGGCACAAAGGTGGGTTTTTTAAAAAATAAAAATAAAACTGTTAACTAAGCTGTTTTATTAAAATATAAAATATAAATATATGATATTTTAAACAATTTAAAATACATTTAAAGGATAAGATAAAGGGATCCAGTTTCCATAATCCCCAGCCAACTATGCACTCACAGCTGCCTTTTCTAACACAGCCTAACCCCAACCCTGAAGCTTCTAGACTACAGTCTCCATAATCCCCAGCCAGCTACACATTCACAGCTGCTTTTTCTAACACAGCCTACCTGTGCAAGTGCTGGATTAGACAGAGTGGGACCCAACCTTTGGTCCTTAAGCTGTTTTGGACATCAATTCCCAGAATTCCTGACTGTTGGCCAAGGTGGCTGTAGCTTCTGGGAGCTGAAGTCCAAAACACCTGGAGAACCAAAGTTCAAGAATCACTGGACTACAGTCTCCATAATCCCTAGTCAACTATGCCCTTACAGCTCCAACCCAGCCCCTTCCAGAGGCAATGCACTACAACTCCCATAATCCAGATCTGTCTTTTCGACTGACCAGGAGCACCTGTCTTGTCTGGGTTAAATTTCCATTTCCATTACTGACTCCCGATGATGATTTAGTACCAAAACAGCTTCATCCCTGGATTTAGATGGAAAGGACAGATAGGGCTGGGTGTCTTCAGCATACCAATGACAACAGATGTGTGACTATGTTCTGAGTTGGCCATGTTGTGTCACAAGTTATGAATAACAAACTTGGTGCACAACCCATTGTATGGTTCTTGGATGCAATCGTTGGTGGCTTTGCCTTTGCAAAACCTAAAGAAAAAAAATATGTGACACATTGACAACTCTCTCTGGGAAAAGCTCTTTCTTTAGCAGCACTATATAGACTGTGTACTACATCTCCTCTCTGCAACATTTCTGAAGATCACAACTGGTCATTTGCAAGGAGGAGAGGTTAACTTGCCCACCAAAAAGGCAGTTGGATCATTTGCTGAAATCTTGGTTCTTTCAAAATTACAGTAATTTCAAAATTAACTTGCCCTCTGCATTCACGGATTCTTTATCCACAGATTCAACAGCTTGAAAATAATTTTTGAAAGGTATAAATTCCAAACAGCAAACCTTGATTTTGCCATTTTATATAAGGGACAATATTTTACTATGCTATTGTATTTGTTGGGGCTTGAACATCCACAGATTTTGGTATCCACAGGGGCTCCCAGAACCAAACCCAGCAGATACCAAGGACCTACTGTAATAATAATAATAATAATAATAATAATAATAATAATAATAATAATAAGGCATGAACATCCACAGATTTTAGTATCCATGGGGGGACCTGGAACCAAACCCCAGCAGATACCAAGGGCCCACTGTAATAGAATCTTTATTGCTAAAAGCTATAAGGTAATTACAACCCAAAATCATCAAAATCATTAAAATAAATAAAATACTCTCAAAATTAGAGAGCTACAAGCTTGTAACTTAGGGCCTGATAGTAATGGTCTTTTTGATAGCAGCAACCCATACATTCGTGATTCATGCCAACCCTATCACTTGGCAAGATTTGTTCAGAGTGGGTTTGCTGCTTCTTTCCTCCAAGGCCGAGAGAGTGTGACTTGCCCAAAGTCACCCAGTGGATTTCCATAGCCGAGTGGGCATTTGGACCCTGGTTTCCAAAATCATAGTCCAACAAACCATTACTCCACATGGGCTCCTAGGTTTGCCTTAGGGATACCATAAGACAGGACTGATTTGAAGGCACACAACAACAACAACAACAACAACAACAACAGGAAAAATGTTCCATAGCCAGGACATTTGTTGTTGTGTGCTTTCAAGTCATTTCTGACTTATGGTGCCCTAAATGAACCTATCATGGAGTTTTCTTGGCAAGAACTATTCAGAGGAGGTTTGTTATGGCCTGAGGCTGAGAGCATGTGACTTGCTCAAAGTCACCCATTGGGTTTTATGGCTAAGCTGGAAATCAAACAACAGCTAAGAAATCCCTTTGCTCTGTTGCTACATCATGTACCTCCAAAAAAGGAGAGATCTGGGCAAAGGCCTTGAGGTCTTAAATGATGGGCAAGTTGTTACAAGAGGAGCCAATCCTTCTGGAATTTGAGTCCTGACAAGCCAAAGTGTGGATTTATAAGGCAAGTACCGGCACCTTGGACTCAAGCCGTAAGCAAACAGGCAACCACTGAAAGTCTTTCCAACTTGCTGGCACGTGCCCAAGCCATGATGCAAGCAGGCAGAAATAATGGCAGCTCCTTCCTCACCAATGGAAGCTTTGGAGTAGTCTTCAAGGGCAGCCCCACATACTATGGATTGCAGTAATCCGGCTAGGAGATCAGCAGAGGGTGGTTCCATGTTTGTGGACTCTTCCTCTCCAGAAACAAGACGAAGCTGGAAAAAGGTGTCTCACGCCACTGGGGATACCCAGGTTTCTAGCAGAGATGTCACTCGGAGAGGCATTGCTCCAGGATGCCAGCCAAGGAGGGCTACCTGGCACCCCCTGATTTGTTTCTGGTCCCTGCTGTGACAGACAAGATGGCAACTCGGGATGGCAAATTTGCATGCAGACCCTTGGACACTAAGTGGGGAGACCTCAGCCTAGTAACAAAGCTGGATGTAGGAGATGATGTGTGTGCCTTCAAGTTGTTTCCGATTTATGGTGACCCAATCATGGGGTTTTCTGAGGGCTGAGAGTGTGTGACTCGTCCAAGGTCATCCTTTGGGTTTCCACGTTTGAGCAGGGATATGAACCCTGGCCTCCAGAGTCACAGTTCAACACTCTTGGATATAGGAGTGGCTCCTCCAAACTGCAGAAAGACAGCTAGGTATGCTGGTGATACCTCTCTGGAGCTGTAGTCCAAGAAAGTAACTTCCCCAGTG